CGGGCGGCGGCGGGGCTGCGCGGCGCGCACGGTCCCGGAGGGGAAAGCGAGGTTTCCTCTCTGTGCCTTTTTTTGGTTGTTTTTTTAGTGGGAAGGAGACGCAGATGCACTTAGGCGTGTGCCGAGGAATCCAACCGTTCTGGCACGGTTTTCGCGATATATGTAACCCCTTCCTTTCTCCTTTCTCCCCCCCCGCCCCGACACCTTGCCTAAACGCTCCGTGCTCTCGCTCTCAAACCTCAGATGTGTGTCACTTTGAAGTTCTGGTAGAAAAGATACCGTTCAAAGGGCGAGAAGAAGCCCTTAGTGGCATGTACCGGGACTTCGCAAATAAGTGTGTCATCAGTGATTCATTTATTTTAGACGATCCAGACCTGAAAGATATTGACCCTACGGTATTAAAACATTGCCATGCAGCAGCTGCAACGTGTATACTGGAGGCAGGAAAACAGAAAGCCGACAAATCTGCTATAAGGTACTAACACTGTGAAGCTACCTCATTTCTCTAGTGGCTGTTGCTTACTATAAACTATACCACTGACTTAATGTTAACAAAAAACTCGTAACGTCTTTTTTTTCTCTAGCACATGTCTAGAAGACTGTAAATTGGACAGAGAAAGAATAGAAGAATTTTGCACTGAATATCAGGTTTTTAAACCAATTTTACCATACTTTGTTTTCCTCTGGTAACAATTTATTTGAATCTAGCAGATATGTGCTTCTTTTCTTTTTTCCTTTTTTTTTTCAGAAAAACAAGGATACACTGGAAATCATATTAGGAAGGTAGGTCAGTCAGTCAGCACAGATAATTTGAGTTACAGCTACTTTAAAAGTGTCCTGAGAAACATACATCGGTACTTTAAGTGATTAAAGTATGAAACATTGCTCACAAATTTTTTTTCTTTAAATTTTTAACAGAAAACAACTGTTGAAATGTTCTTTTCCCCTTTCAGTAGTCTGTTCTTAAGTAACCTTTTGAACTTTTCATTAAACATTATAAATATCAGAAAAAGGTTCTCAACTTTATTGATGGACAGCTTTAGAAAACTGATTTTTTTTTTAAGTGTAGGGTACATGTAACTGTTGTGTCTTTCAGCATAGGCAGATCTCCCCTCCACATAACTGATGTGTCTTGGCGCTTGGAATATCAGATCAAGGTAATCTTAACACATCGGTGTGTTTCCTTAGTCTGTTTTAGTTCTGAAACCTGACTCTTTATATATTCTTTGTTTTTAAATTAGGCGAATCAACTTCATAAAACTTACCAACCGTCCTATTTGGTGACCTTAAATGTAGAGGTACTGTCTGTCTACTTTTCCCAGTACCCTCAAAGGAAAAAAAATGCAATCTCTTGACATTTTTTAATAAAACAGGTATTTTTTTTTTCCTTCAGAGCAATGATTCAGGATCACACCCAGATGTTAGCTTTAGTTGCACGATGGAGCAATTACAGGTACTTCTTTCTATCATCGTTGTTTGGCTCCAGTTGTGACTATATATATTTTTTTAACTGTCAATCAAAATGAAAGTTTATAAACTGTTCTCAGCAAAATATCCAGGATTGGGAGGGTAGGAGAGAATCTTGTATAAAACATTGTCTGAATGTAGTCATCTTACCTTCTCAAATAAAGTTGTGTGGTAATTGATTTTAGTTGCATGGAAATAGTTCTCTCTACCTGCATAAATATTTTATCTGTTTTCTGTAATATTTATTTGGAAGGAAATTAATCAGTTTTCTGAAACAGTCATTTCCCGTGGTGTAGGGACATTGT